TCTGTTCCAAGTTTTCTGAGGAATCTCCATAATGCTTTCCAGAGTGGTGCACCAGGTTTTCAGTCCTACCAGCAATATACGAGTGAACTTTTCCCCCCACATGCTCTCCAACATTTATTGTTACCTGCATTCTTGATAATTGCCATTCTGACTGGAGTGAGATGGAATCTTAGTGTAATTTTAATTTACATTTCTCTAATTGCTAGAGATGTTGAACATTTTTTCATATATATGTTGATCAATTGTATTTCTTCTTCTATGAAGTGTCTGTTCGGTTCCTTTGCCCATTTATTGACTGGGTTATTTGTTTTTCTAGTATTAAGTTTTTTGAGTTCTTTATATATCCAGGAGATTAAAGCTCTATCTGAGGTGCAGGTGGCAAAGATTTTCTCCTGTTCTGTAGGCTTTCTTTTTGTGTTCTTGCTTGTTTCCTTTGCTGTGAAGAAGCTTTTTAGTTTGATACAATACCATTTATTGATTCTTGATTTCTTGTACTTTAGGAGTGTTATTGAGGAATTTGGTTCCTAAGCTAACATGATAGAGATTTGGGCCTACATTTTCTTCTAGTAGGCACAAGGTCTCTGGTCTAGTTCCTAGATCCTTGATTCACTTTGAGTTGGTTTTTGGGCAGGGTGAGAGATAGGGGTCTAATTTCATTTTATTACATATGGATTTCCAGTTTCCCCAGCACCATTTGTTGAAGAGGCTATCTTTTCTCCAATGTATGTTTATGGTGCCTTTGTCTAGTATGAGATAACTTTATTTATGTGGGTGTGTCTCTGTGTCTTCTATTCTGTTCCATTGGTCTACCAGTCTGTTTTTGTGTCAATGCTATGCCTTTTTTGTTACTGTAGCTCTGTAGTATATATTCTTTTAAATTATTCTTGAGGTATGAACTAAGCATGGAAGGGTGGGCCTTGGGAAGAGTACTACCTTATTATTTTGTTGCTTACTGAGTTGAAGTTTGTGGTTTAAGACTTCCCAACTTCCCTTCTTGGGAGATTGGTGTGGGCTGGTTGGGTTGTAGGCAGGGTGGTGAAGTGGCTGGCTGGGCCAGGTGGTATAGTGGCTTGTTGGGCAGGCCTAGCTGGTGTACACTGGGCAGGCTAGGCAGCAAAGCTTCAAGCCGGGTGGACCTAGGGGAGAAGTGGCTTGCTGGGTCAGGTGTGCCTGGCTGAAAGTTGTGGGCCAGGCAGGCTGGGCTATGATTGGGTAGTTATGTCTGGTGGCCTATGTGGCCTGGGCCTGGTGGATCAGGGCCAGGAGATGGGCCTTGTTTGCCACAAAAAGCTGTGGGCTGAGCTGGGCAGGACTGGCAGTGAAGTGGTGGCCTGGCAGGTTGGGTTATGGGCCTGTGGCAAAGCTGTGGGCCTAGTAGGCAGAGTGGTGAGCTAGATGGGAGGCCAGGGCATTGGGGGATGGAGGGTGGGGGGCTTGGGCAGATGCTGGACTGGTACTGGACCTGGTGGGCACTGGGGACCCAGGGATCCAATGGGGTGCTAGTCCAAGGAGGGCCCCAGGGACTGGGATGGTCCTGGGACCTAGCAGGTGCCAGTCTGGGTGGGTCCTGGGAACTCAGTGGGTGCCAGACTGGGCAGTTGCTGGGACTGCTTAGCTGGCAAATTGAGAGCCATGTGCCCCCATACCCACTCTTCCAACTTCCTAACCCACTGTAGCTAGCCTTGTTAGCTCCTGAGAGCCTCAGGACTCACAGGGTTGGGGAGAGACGAGTTCTCTCTGGCATATCCAATTTGTGTTTCCCCTGGGAAAATGCTTTTAGTTTCTGATTTCCCATGGGCTTATTAGGCGCAGTTAAGTCTTCATGCAACATAGCTGTGAACTCAGATCTGGGTTTCCAGTTCCTGTTTGTACTGCCAAACTGTAGTTCCACGGTGGCTCCTGGATCAGCTCTCTGCTGACAGAGATAAACTCAGGGCAACCTTCTTTTAGATCYATTTAATGAGTTGAACAGTCTGTGGTTCAGCTAGGACAGACTGCCCCTCCAGTCTCAGGATTTTTCACTCTAAGCTTCAGGGAGAAGCAGTATTCCCATTGCTTGATTTCTGGTTAGCCAAACTAGGAGAAATGCTGCCTCACTCTAATCTGCCATCTTGTCCCTCCTCTTCACAGACTTGATTGTTTACTTTGCTGTGCAGAAACTTTTTATTTGATTCCATTCCATTTATTAACTCTTGGCATTATTTTCTGAGCTTTAGGGGACCTTTTGAGAGTTGTTGCCTCTGCCTATATGCTGGAGTATTGACCCTACATTTTCTTTTAGGAGTTGTATATTTCAACCAATCTTCATTTTACTATCTGTACTTCAGCTTCATCTGCATCGGAAAACTATTGCTTTTTTGGGCTGGGCATGTGGCTCAAGCGGTAGCGCGCTCGCCTGGCATGCGTGCGGCCCGGGTTCGATCCTCAGCACCACATACCAACAAGAATGTTGTGTCTGCCGAGAACTAGAAAATAAATATTGAAAAATCTCTCTCTCTCTCCTCTCTCTTAAAAAAAAAAAAACTATTGCTTTTATCTTTAGTACTTCAAATGTGTATGTGGGTAGTTTTGGGTGGGGTGTGTTTAATAGGAATCTAACTCAAAGTTATAGTGCATATTTTGTATGACATCTCCTTGTCAATTATTTGTTATTTTAAGTTAAAGCAATCTACTTAAATGAATGAATTATTGTAGTTTTTGAGCTCTTTAGTATCAATAAATGAAATCTATAAGTCCTGATAAACAGTTCAAGCTAAAATCTCCCCATTATGCAAACTCCAACCTTTAGTTAAAATACTCTCAATGATGATGTATTATTGGATTTTCTTCCTTTTTTTCTTTGACCATGGTAAATTATCTGAAAGTATTTTTTTKTGTGTGTGTGTGTTTGTGTATGTTTCTTATTTTGAACTCTTACAAGCGTATTTCCTCTAAAGTTCCCATTTGGAGTTATGCAAAGCTCAAAGAGAAATGTGAAGAAGAAATATTTAAGAAGTAGAGCTAATATTTCTTAGTCTCTAAGAAATAAGTACAAGGGATAAAAAATGCTTTAGAATTAAATGGATTAGTTGGTAAAGTATCTCGTATTAATTAAAAGATAAAATTACTTAAATTCTTTAAAATCTTAGATCTGGAATTATTTTTATTTAAACATAGAAGAGAACAAGAAATGGGCAAGGCACAGAAATGATTATACAACATGATAAATATTTAATATAAAGGTTAATAAATTATTTTGAAAAGAACTTGTTTGTTATGTTACAAGAGAGGGAAAATGATCAGGTTTTCCCTATGTTGAAACTGATAGGTAGACTCTAGGTAGACTTTTTCAGACTGTGAAAAGTCTACCCATTCTTTGTTGTCCAATTGAGATTCCCTGATGTCTTCTATATCTGTCCTCTGTCCCTCAATCAGGCTCACTGGGTTTTTTGAATTTTCACCGCATGTTACTTTTATCTCTGTTTTGCACTGTCTTTACTACTTTACTACTTGTGTTAGATTTAATGGTAGAGTAGAAAAAGCATAGACATTGTAGTAAAACCCTTGTTCAATTGAACTTTCTGAGTCCCGGTTTACTCACTTGTAGATGGGAATAGAAATAGAATTCTGGTCATTCTTGTGAGGAGTAATTTGGAAAGCACAAACTACCTGGGGCTAAATAGGCATTCAATAAATGTCGGTGTCCTTCCCATTTCTAAGTTTCATGTCTAGTTTCCCCTCTAATCTGTAAATTCCTTTAGGGTAGGAAATCTTATATTCATTGTGCCTTGAGCAGAGTAGGTTATAAATGATTATTTATTGATTATATTTTGCTATTCTGCTATGGAGGCTTAGTTCTGTAGTGTTATTTTCTATTTCTTTTTCCTCTATCATCTTGGATTGAGATGAACATGTTGCTTTCATGAAATTGAGAATTTAATTTCATAGGATGACATTTTAATATGACTTATTCCATAGATATATACAGTAAGGGTCAATTTATTTCCCTGGAAATTTAAATGTATTCTATAAAATCTCATTAKCCTGTCTTACAGTATCATAGTCACAGTGGAATTTGGGTGTGTTTAAGATGGTGAAGTCTTTATCTGTGGAAGTCTATCTAATAACACAGAACATGGGAAATAAATGACATAAGGAAAGAGCAAATCCCAAACATCTTTCAAATTATATTACTTGACATTTTCAATCACTAACCCTACAAAGTGTGTTCTAATTTCCTAAAATAAACCAGGAATTCAAATTCTTGTGAGCTCCCTTTGCTTAATTAATTATTAGTAGCAGACAGTATTCTGTGATCTATGTAATTTGTCACCTTTGTATTTATCTAGTATCTGATTTAAAAATGAACAAGATCATTCTGATTCAGCAGAACTGACTTCATAACTCATCTGTGTTATAGAATAAATAAGTTTTGCTGAACATGTCACATATGCTTTGATCATCAAAGTATTAGTTTTCCTTCTCAAAGTATAGTCTCTGAGAGATATTCTTTTCTGAAGTTTGCTGGATGACCTATTCTACATAGATTTTCTACAGAGGCAAGTCAGACCTCATTCCATTAGAGCAAAATAGCATTCAAGCAGCTACCTTTTTATGATTTTTTTCCCTTAACTAGAATGTTAAAGCTCTTTTAATGCTTCCTCGTTATGAGTTGGAATTATTCATTCATTATGATGTTTTTCTTTAAAATAGCAGCAATGTATCCTAAAACATGGAAGGTTTTTTTTTAAATAGAAGCATGCTGTTTTCGTTAGAGTGAGGATTAACAGGCTTATCATTTATGCAATAACATTGTTTGTACTTAGAATGCAGTTATTAACTCTTTATAATTGTCCCTAATTATTTCACTAAAAGATAATTATATAGCATTTGTTATCTGTACCTTATAGATATAGATAGGAGAAACTGAGGCTCATTATTGACTCTCTGTGTTAGCTATCTGGGAAACTGAGAAAAATGTGCTGTTATCCTAACGATGTGCTTTCTTTTTTCATTTTCAGTTTCAAAGAACACTTGAGTGCCTTAAAAATGTTTCCAACAAATCTGACCTTCAGAAAACCTACCAGAAACTTGGGAAGGAGCTGGAAGATCTGGATTATTTGGCTTTCAAACGTCAGCAGGTAGGAGTCAATACCTTCCTTTGTAGAAGTGCTGGACACTTTAGGATTCCTGTTGTCTTTCTTGTCAGAGGGGCAAGCAAGTCTGGGGAGACATACTTTCTAATGGTTGTGGTAGAAATAGCGTGTGCTGATCTGATCTGCTGTGTTCATACAACTTCATGCAGTGTTCACTGTGCTCCTTATTTTTAGATGTATACGATAGTGATTTCCACATGTGTTCTTGTACCTCTTTAAAAAAAAATTCCTGCTGGTTTGTGAAAGTCTAGCTACTCTTTGACTAATGATGCCTCAGTTGGCTTGGTCAGGTGGCTTTTATAATTGCCATGGCATACCCGAAAATGAAAATCACTCAAAGACCAGGAAAAGGCTGTGCGTATACATAAAGAATTAAGTAAAAATGTCATAAATCTGCCAAAACATGAGTTGACTTTTAGTTTTATTTTTTAATCTCTGAAGATGAGTTAACATTTACAAATATGGAAGGTTAAAGGAAAATATACTTAACGAAATTAATGAACGCATTATTTTTTGCCTCCTGTATAGATCTTAAGACAAATCCAAAACAAAAATAAACTACAAGGTTTCTTTGAGAGTTGATGTTTTATAAAATTAATATTCACAATGATTACTTTTTGTGGGTTTTGGAGGTATTGTCACAGTAGATAACCATTCTTCCCATCTAGATCTTCTTGAGTTTCTTTACAGCCACTAGGTGTCAGGATTGTCAAGGTTTTTCTTTGGTCAAATGTTTATTCTAATCAGGACAGTGAGAAGTTTAAATTAGGTTGCATGAAATTTGGGCTCAGTGATAGATGGCATCTAGAAAAATGACTAAATAACTGACTTGCATGGTCAGCCACTGAATCTTTCACTTAAGAATATTTCCTATTAGTGTGGCAAAGGATGTGACATTCTTGCTGTTGTCTAATTCACAAGTGTTAGAGTGTTTCAATTGGGGTTTTCAAAGCAGGACTTCCTATATTTTGTTAAACTTTATTAATTAAACATGATATGGTTTAGAAATATTAGCCTGAGAAAAGAATTGTGTGTTAGGTTTTTGCTCTATCTCAAAGGTTATGTGGGCATTTAACCTTTTTTTCATCATTTCCTAGGTGTTTTATATATATATATTTACAGAATGTTCCAGGGTAAATGAATAATCTCTACACATACTTTAATTTATATGAAAATGATAAAATATTAATTCATTATATATTTTTTTAAAGAAATCAATGCCGGTCCATGTATTACCATGCATAGCAGAAGTAGTCACAGTTACTGAGAGCTACTACAGTGAGTTCCCAGATGCTGCTGCTTAAAATTCACTCTGTGAGTCACTACTCTGGCCTATGCAATTTTTAATACAGTTTTGTTTCCAAGATCATATTTTACCACCAAGGGGTATTTAAGTTGGCAGGCAGTAGTTACTGTCCTCTTCTTTATCCTTTCTCTTTAACACATTTTCAGTGATTAGATTCTTACATTAGCTAATTGTGAATTTGGAAAAAGGTGAATATTTCAAGGGCAGAAGAGTAGAACTCTTGCTGAATGGCATTGAGGGTGCATAAGTAAACTGCATGTGCATGAGGAAATAGGGACATGTGTAGTGTTTATACATGTATATATAAATTTTATATGCTTTTTAATTAAATGACAACTATATGTCACATAATAGGACTAAAACATTAATTCACTAAATATTTACAATGATATAGTGAGATTAGTTTTATTAGAACCATTTTACAGATGAGCAAAGTATTGATAGAGTTAAGTAACTCTTATTGTTGTTGGGCTAATAAGGCATGAAGCCAATTCAAACCTGGAGTGTCATCTATCCTAGATGTGCAGTGTTCAAAGAGTCAGAACATCAACTGTTCTTTGACTTATTGGAATTTGTCTTTTCTCTCCCGACCAATTCTTTTAAAACTTCAAAAACCTATTAAACACATAATAGAAATTGTTTTTCTCCTACCAGAAAAGATACAGGTCTCTGTAAAATTGCTGATTCAACAAGAAAGTTTCTTTGTTATATGGCAGATTCTTTGTACTATGAATTAGTCATGGGTCATTTCTCAGTCAGATCATATTTATCATTCTTTGTTGTGGCAGAATGTAAGCTGCATAAGGACAGAGACTTGTTAGTTTCATGATCTTCAGTGCTGTATCCTCTCTAGGCTCACATGTCTGACTCATGGCAAATAATAAATATTATTGGTGGTTGTATTCCTATGAATGAAGAAGCAGCCAAAACTTTATCCTCAGATTATAGGCAACTACAATCAATGTGTTTGTTTCACTTTTAAAATTTAGAAGGGCATTAGCTCTGAGCTTTCTATATGCCAAAGGCTAACAGAGTGCTCTCTGCATTGTTTTATTTTAGGTTTTCTTCTAACATATTTAATTTCTCTATTTACTTCTTCCAAGAAACAGAAAATGCCAATGTTACCTTAGCTCTGAATTATATATATTTCATATATAATTTGTATATAATTATGTATACACATTTTTATGTAATTATATATTTGTGTACATATATACATATATATATGTATATATATATAAAATATATATATATATATATATTTTTTTTTTCAGTGCTGGGGATTGAACCCAGGGCTCATGTATGTGAGGCAAACGCTCTACTTCTGAGCTATATAACTCAACTTCTTTTTGAATCATTTCTTTCCCAGCACCAGATAGACCCCTGGAGTACTTTGCTTCATTAAACCTTTTTTTTTTTTTTTTTTTTAAAGTTACTGTTTTTCTTGTCTAGGCATGAACTTAAGCTAGTCCTTGAGTCAGGGCACAAGCATCTCTATACTTTCCTCCTTTAAAAAAGACTAATGTTCAAAATAGCTTTGGTTGGAAAAAGTGAGAGAGGAGGCTGTGATAGATGAGGGAGTGGGTGTCCAGAGACTAGTTAGCCTGAAAGAAATGAATGATAAAGCAGAATTAACAAGAAAATCTGGAAGTTCTTTCAATTCTCACTATTTGGAGATACAATCTTGGAGTTTATCTGCTTTGACTATTTGGTTTTTATCCTCCTGCTTGGTGCTACAAAGGAATAAAAATAGTAATCTCCAGCTTTTATAGAGATTCCAGACCTACGTATTAATTTGAGAAGTTATAAATCAAAATGTTTTCGTGGGGGCTTTCATTCTGTAGAGTAAAATAAAATAAGATTTGATAATCTAGACTCTAATTTAATTCTTCCTCTCTTCTTCTACCCTTAATACTTATAATAATATTATAAAACACATCCCATTTCCAGAGGCTTCTGAAGTTCTTTGATATAAATTAAAGTTGATACATTGAATTGAACATGATATAGACTGAAGCAAATTTAAAACATTGTTTGAAAATTAAAATACTATGCTTCAGGTACACACCCATTTTCAAACATATCACATATTGCCAATTCTTCTCTCCCTGATCATGGACTATTGTTCTTGCCTTCTGACCTTTGTATAACATTTATATAACTTGGTATTAAGAGTACACAGTCTGTTTCTATTTGTTTATTTAACTACTAATTTTCCTTCAAAGTTAAACTGAAGTCTTGTCTCCTTCCTGATCCCACACTCTGTGACCTCTAGCCAATATGTAAACTCTTCATTCTTTTTTTGTCCACTTTTAGCTTTTATCTGTGTCTTACAGTTTTTAACAGTTTAGCATCTGATTGATGATATACTCACTGATAATACATGTAGTGCAAAAGTTAGAATGTGGGCTTCGTGGTTAGCCAAAACTAGTTGTACTGTTTGTACTCCCTTGGGCACCAAGTTTCTACATATAAAACACAAAGAAGATAACTCCTAATTTACAGCATGTTCTGAAAAAAATTATATACAAAGTATAAAGTAAGTCCTTTAAAGTGTACAAAGGACTTGGCAAAGCACCTAATGTGGTAGTTATCATAATGTTGTTTTGAGTTACTCTCAAAAGCCTTTCTCCTAAATAGTGTATAATTTCTATAAGGATATTTTCTCTCTTTTATATAATTTTGTACTACACATAAGGTTCAGTGCTGTTCTGCACATATAGGACTAAGTGTTTTTGAATATCTGTAGTCTAGTAGTTGGTGATCTGTTCTAGAAAAAATGATATGTCTCAAGGAGGAAGTTGCAACATTTGGTTCTAGTAAGTGTCTACAAAGACCTCTCTTGATAGACAGTGAAATGAAAGGCCCACGTTCTTGTGCCATGGCAATCCGTGGGGAAATTAGGGTCTTAGACCCAATATTTTGGCCAAAGTCCAACTTGTAATAATTACATCCTATGTATCTAGACTTCCTTTGTTCTTCCAGATGGTATTGTTCAGTACAATTTGATCCTTACTTTAGTGATGATGTTTAGGAATGAAGGACTGGTTTTTTTTTTCTTTTACTAGACTGGATAGGAGTTGCCCCTTGGATAATTCCAAGACCAGAAGTGTTTATAATACCTTGTAGAATAGGAATTGAATTTAAAATAAAGCCTTATCAATGAAGAAAAGTAGAAATAAATTATATGCAATTTATTTAGTGAAAATGAATGCAGGTCTATATCCTTCAATTGAAAAATTTTACTTCTTTCTTTTTGTATTTTTAACAATAGGCATCTTAGCAGGTGTGAAAGAAGAGACAAGAGTTGGTGATGATAGGGAGAAAAGGGTATCTTTTTACACTGTTGGTGGTAATGTAAATTGGTATAGTCAATATGGAAAACAGTATGAAAGTTCCTCAAAAAATTAATAATAGAATTACCATATGATCTAGCAATCCCACTTCTGGGCGTATATCCAAAGGAAATGAAATCAGTGTCTTGAAGAGATAACTGTAGTCCAATGTTAATTGTAGCACTATTCACAATAGCTAAGATATGGAAACAAATTAAGTTTTTTGATGAATAGATAAAAAATTATATACAATATATATATATATATATATATATATATATATGAGAATATATTTAGTAAGCCTCAGAAAAGAAGGGAATACATCCATTTGTGATAATATGGAT